TTACCTTGCAAGTGCTAAATCCCAGTTTGCAACTTTAGGGTTTTTACTTCACTTTTTTTTATAAGAAAACTTACCTTGCAAGTGCTAAATCCCAGTGTGGGCCTTTCTATGAGTTGTGGACCTCGAAATTCTCCTTCCAACAGCGTTACTCCACACAGAGCACTTAATTGTAAATAATTGGCATTTTTCACGATTATTTTTCTTAATGCTCTTCGGTCGGCATTTGTGATATTACTTTTTTCACATATCGTGGCTTAATATTAACTGATCCAGTTACGTTATATCTTCTAACAATATTTCTCACACTGTACCGCGATAAGTTTAACAAATGTGCAATTTCTGAGTTTGATTTCCCAGAATTAAAAAAATTAATTATCAGTAACCGAATTTTCTCACTAATAACCTTTCCTCTACCATTTTGAAAACCTTAACTAACCAAAACTTTTAAACGTATTCTGACAGCTGTGATTAATAAAAACAATTGTCATGACTGTTATTTTTCACAGCCACCTATGCGTTATAGACTTATTTTGCATTGAAATGAAAATAGGTTGATATGCTGTAATTGATATTTTTATGCTGCAAAATATTCATTGTTAATATTTTAAACCTATAACACCCTGCTTCATTTTTATTATTTATGTTTGATAAGAAAAAAACTAAGATTTCAATAGTTGGTCCAACTGAAGTGGGAAGGGGCTGGTACAGTTAGTTCATTTGAAAGTGTTATGTAACTGTTACTAACGCGCTACAGACCATGCATGCGCCTCTCTAGCGTAAGAACAAAATACTCCATATGCTAGAGAATACATTGTTTAAATAAAATTGCTTACCTCTTGATGTTTGTTAAGGGACATCCAACAAGCACGACTATACAAAAAATGTCGTCAAGTAGATTGACTCTATACTTCTCACGTCTTCGAAACAACTTCTAGTACAATTTTCCTTGTAGTGCAATGGCATCAAAAGGACGTAGGTTTTGTGAGAACCATTAGTGCACTATTTAGGCTTTTCATGAAAAAAAAATCCTCGGATTGCAGCAATGGGCGTGTCCGTACACAGTAGCCTCATATCTTTGGAGCCGTTGGATTTTGAAATCTACAAAACTTTCTTCGTCCTTGGAATAGTAGCAACCTAACAGTACTTTCAAAGTTATAGACGGGTCAAGGATTTGCGGATAGACCGACAGACAGACCGACCGACGAAAATGAGTGAGCTGGTTTTTAGTGATGTAAATGTCATATGTAACATCCAAAAAACATAATTCTCATTTTTGAAATGTTTCGCGAAGTAGGCGTGGGATGTGAAATCGGGTTAGAATATTTCTTCCACGAATGCCAGGTTTCGTTTATATTGTTCCAGACGCTGGCCTGTGACTTTTTGTGGGTATCTTAAGCTCAATAGTACCGACTGGAATATTTTTTGCATAACCAGGAGTTGCTCAAATTCAGCCGATCCGAAGCGGCAAAAAATTGGATTTCTTGGTTTGGTAGGTACCTTTGTATGTACCAGGTGTCCGGCTATAAATTGACCTCCCGCTCTAACTTTTTTATATGACTTTTCAGAAAAAAGGTTTTATTTAAAAATTATAGAGTCCAATATGAAGTTTTTCATGTAATATTTTTTTGTTTAAAGCATAAAGTTGTATTTTTTTAAATGGAACACTAAATATTTTTATAGTCCCTTATTTATGATTCAAAATAAATATGGTTTATCATACTTATTGTCATTAGTTTAGCCAAAAACTTATTGTTTGTGTATCATCTACACATGTGTATTAGAGTTTGGACCAGTTTGCATTTGATTTGAATCTAGTCGCCTACGGTCTTTTTCACGAGTATCCATTATGGTAAAATGACAGCTAATTATCTAGTATTATTTCAAAATTCCCCATATCCGCAAAGGATACATAATTCTGACGGATCCGTCAGTGCCAAGTAGACAGAGCCATATTTTGTTTTGATTTTTTGTACATCATTTTGTACTTGCGCTAAAAGCTCTTTTATTTATAAGAGTTTATTTGGATACAAAAAACAAAACGCTACTAACAAGTTTTACTAGATTTACACACCCGATTCAGTATTGCAAACATTGCAGACTAACACAAAAATGTCACTTGCTGATCAGCAGTACAGCTCAACAGACGTCAAAGCGTGATGGATACTCGTGGAATAGGGTATATATGCAAACTGATGTGATGCATTATGATTAAATGACACACAAGTTTTTGTCTAAGTAAGTAATAAAAATAAGTTTAACAAACCATATAAATATTTGGAATCAGACAAAAATTGACTGAAAATGTACATGGTGTTCCGCTTAAAAAAAACACTTTATTCGATTTATTCTTGAGACATACAAAAAAATATTACATGAAAAACTTCAAATTATACTCTATAACTTGTATATATGATTTTTCTTCTTGAAGGTCATATGAAAAAGTATGGAGAAGGGGTAAATTTATAGCCGGACATATTCCATACATTCAAATGAGAAAAATCTTAGTCATCATCATTATAGAACAATTTTAACAACCAATTGTTCATATACGAAATCCTCTATCCATCTGATTATGTGATTGGGTCACAAAGGAGTTTATGATACTCGATACAAAGAACATTGAAAACACATACGTGAAATTTGATTTATTACTTTTATACATACTTATAATTAGGTTCGAAATGCGCAATATATATATTTCACGGTAACACAATATGTAATCATAACAAATGAATCAATGTTGCTGTCCTAGTATCCCACATTATTTTGACCTTCTTGTTCAACTTTTGTTGTCTCCGGTTTCCCCGTATTGTACTATTTGTTAGAATATAATGAAAATAATAATTTATTTGTTTCGGTGCGCCTTTTGAAGATACAAGATGACATCAGGCGCTATTTATGAAAAGTGGTTAAATCGAATGCGCTTCAACATTGGTTCCTGAGTGATGTCTGAAGCGACCAATTTTCTGCTGCAAATTTGAATTTAGCGCTTCAAATTACTTGGGTGGTCTAAGACACAATCATTTGTAACAAGTGTAGACGAAGATGGAATTTTTTACCTACAAATTGTTGTATTTTTTAGACTTCCTACTGGAGCACCTGAATAGTAAATATTTGTGTAGCAATATTTGGCTATAACTATATGCAGATCATCCATCATGACCATATTGCAGTGCATGGCGCGGTTATGTCAGCTATATCTCGGCTACAAATTTTGGCGATATTCTTTTTGCAACGTATACAGTATATTCAGATAAGAGATAGACCGGACATAAACAAGACCACGTGATCATCGAACGCTGTAACATTCGGCAGGGACGTATTAAGAGTCACGCAGTACATATTTTAGATAGTAGATGCTGCTTTGCGTAACTTTGTAGTAAATTAGCACAATTCGATGTGTATACGATTGGTGATGGATATAGGATCATGTGGGGGTGGGGGTAAGAAATATATAATGATGTAAATATACAAGGGTTTCAAAATTTTCGCTTCGATTTCCAGCTTCGGATGCCGTCTGATGTTTGGTGAAATACAGTCGAATATAATCTCAAAATGGCTTTAAATTAGCCTATAATTATAACAAGGTATAACAATAACAACGACAAACTCAACAACTTAATAAGATAACAAACGAAAACGTCCAAAGAAATATCAAATTGCAATGATGCACACGACATACGTAACACGTCTGAACCTGAATGTGACTCTGCCTTGATACGACTGCTCTGCCGCTCGGCATAGGCATTTAATTGCGAATTGACCAATGAGGGCTCCTGTTTGACGTCGAGACGGCGGCGTTAGCGTGAAAATCCCCGAACCTTTTGTTTACATCCGGTCTATCTCTTACCTGAATATACTGTAGACACATGCACTTTTCAGAACTTCTTATCAGATAGTTTAGCAATCTGACAGCAATATATCAAAATAGGTCGGAAGTGCCAGGGTACTGGCTACTTTATTGCATCTATATAATGCAGCTAAAATATTGCTCAATTAGAAGTCATAAGAGAACATTTTTTAAAATGCCTTTATATCTGTGATCTAGACGAAACCTCGTCTCATTGCCAATCGGGTGCGTAGATGCTAAGTTTGACAATCAATTTGATACTAGCATTTATTTTCTAACTAAAACTCGACCCCACCGCGCCTTACGGTCTTTATTCAGTTTTTTGACATTGGTATAGTTATACGTCTCCATCCGCGGTAATTCTACACACCCCATTATACATCTTGCACTCATCATAGATTTTCCCGAACATTTATCTTTAAAACTTGGAACGATGGAGAAATATTTCCGACCTTCGCGTGTCGATCATATGCTTCGTGATCTTGCCGACGCATGTGTGTAGCAGTCGGCGTGTGCTGCTCGACGGGGTGTGGACCGTCGATCAACATCCAAATGTACACATATTTTGGATCATGTTCACCCACAGGAATTTCTGTCAGGGGAAATTGGAAGGTCATCCATTGGTAGAGATAAGGTTGTGTGAAAGCGTACCTGCCTTCAAAAGTTTGTGAAGAGCGAGGAGTAGCACATTTTCTCAGGATCCCAAATCCTAAAGAGCCCCACAAAAACATGCTGAATAGCAAATTTCCATTGTATGAGTCAGTTTGATTTTCATACATAATACTTTATGAACTGATGACAGCGTTGCATATGAACTGCAGGGTCAACCTATTTGACGCCATTTTTTATTGTGTTATTCCTATTCAGTGTCCCGAATTACCTATGTATACAAACATTCATTTGTTTGTAACATGACATAAAACTGAAATTTTGACGCTTATCTTCAGGTCTCAAGCGTCCCATTTTATGCAGATTTGGCGCTAAGGCGCTTGTTGATTTTGTGATAGTCATACCCAAATTCACTGCCCCAAATATTTGAAAAATTGATCTATGGCATATCGTGCACTTGGGAATAAGTAATTATAAAAGGTGCATATCAAAATATACGACACAGGACCCAGACATTATTGTCAAATAAAAATAATACACACCCTTTTATCAAACATTTTTAATAAATTACTTTCCACACTATTACAGGAATCTATTACAGCAATTTTGCCTAAATACAATGAGTGCCTGAAATATAGGAGTTAAAAAATATATCACAATTGTTGGACCTACTTTGTTTCTTATTGTTTTTAAGCGGGATCACAAAAATAGTAAAACAGAAGGAATGAGTCTACACGAGAAAGGAAAAAGCTACAGCTATAAAAAGGTACAAAAAAATAAATAGACTTCGGTTTAATTTTTTTAGATTTTTTTACATCCAATAATTTTTTTCGAGGGAGGGCGGAGGAATAAATTAGAAAATAAAAAACAGGGAATAAGGGTAAAACGGAACAGGAAGAATAACGTGTACAGTAATTGAAATTGAATGTGTCGTTAAGGCTGTATTTGTTAATCGACAACATAATGAAGTAACGATTACATAAATAATTCTTTTGTGAGGCATTATATAATCGATAATATTATTAGATGTCTATTGTCACTTTCATCTTCGAGTACTGTACAAGGGAAAATGAAAGACATATTAAGTAGAATATAAACTAGAAAATTAAACGACAGACATTTTAGCTAAAAGTCTAGAGTGTGCTTTTTAAGCTTTTGGTGTTGAGGAAGCAACAGCAGGTGCTGACTCTTCTGGTACTGGGGCAACGGTAGGGATTTCAGGGTACTCCAGCTTGGCGCCATCTTCGCATTTGAATTGAGGACAGCAGCCTGGGAAGGGAGCTGTCTTGTTGGTTTTCTCTGAAAATAGAAAGACATATTAGTAACATAGATTGGCCACAGAATGTGCAAAAAAGAAGATACCTTTGATCTTCACGATCGATATTGATGTTTTAGCTTTTTTTTTGTTAACGGACTTCGACCGTGAAGTTATAAGAAAGTTTAATATTATTTCTTAGTAGGTATATCTACAGAATCTTCCCTAACTACTTGACTTCATTCCTCGGATATAAAAATACCCAAAAGCCCTATTTCTACTCAAAAGATGACTTTGCAGCAGTTTAGGATCCTTTAGTGGTTATGAGTTTCGTTTGCTTGTAGATACGGAGGACAATACAAGAGATGTAAATTTGTTTCTTGGATAAATCGGACGCGTGGATCACGAATATGATGTTAGTTTCTCACAGAAATCATTGGAGCTCCCAAGTGGTCCATTTAGACATACTAATGAAGAACATTTTCGAAAATACTCGGTAATGGGGAGGGATGGGAGGAAGTATGGGGTAAGAGAGAGGCCAGTTAGCTGCTGATGGTGATGGATTAAGACCTGGTTTAGTAAAAATGTCCTTACCTTCATCCAACTTGCACTTGGGGTTGGCCAATGGGAGTGGTCCACAATCTTCTACCAACTCCAAGAGACGTGGTGGCTTGTCTTCGGAGACGACGCAGGTTGACCTACCGCAGAATGGAGTCAGGTCCCAGGTCTTGCCAGGCTCTACCGTGGCGCACTTCGTTGACGCGAAGCACATACCGGGGAAGTCTGGAAAGAATATATGAATATAAGTACTGATGTGGCACATTTGGAAAACGTCAAAGTTTGCAAATGGATCATCCCAATGAATTCAGAAGCGTATACGCATAAAAGTGCGTCAGCCAGTGTATTCTCAGATACATTTCTGTACAACAGGAACAAATGGATAAGTATCGAAACTAGAGGTTTTTTCTAACAATGACTTTTTGAGACTCCTGAATATTCATTTACAGTCAGTTTAGGACTCTTTTAGGTAACATTGTTTGAATGACTGTATTTCGCAGTTCCTAAGACTAACTTCGTATCTCCATAAGGTGTAAAAGACAGTTATGAATTTTGATAATGTTTTATGAATTGTATGTCGACTTCGAAAAATAGTACCTCATTATCAGATGTCTGAAAACTTTGCATGCACTTTTTGTTGTTGGAAAATCGTAGGGATAGAATGTACTTATAGGACTCCCTTTTATGCCCGAATCAAACCGGATAGGATGTTTTGATTTCTGTTTGTTGTACCTTGTTTTCGGCCACCAGAAGTTCTATGTATGGAATGTTTTCAAACGTATCCTTACTTCAAAATCTGAAAAACCGAAATAGCTTAGGTCCTATTCTTAGTATTGCTTGTGTCCAAAAGCTATGCCAGAACAATCCTATGTCCAATATTTTTTGAAAAATACGTAGAACAAGCTTATACACTTTCTAAGTTCTATTTAGGACCATTCGTGTTTATAGAATACTTTTATTACTTTTTTCGCTTAAAGATAAGTTTATTCGTTACTAATACAAAAACCTCGATACAATAGCTCTCTTGCCTTATGGGTAGATTATTACTGCCATAAATGAGCGATGCTACAATCTACTATTTACTGTAGAAAACGCGAAATCGCTAAAAATAGTTCTGCAAGATTGCGACGTTATTCTTTCGCAAACTTATGTTGCTTGTTCTGTAATAATTATTGAATCAGAATTTCATAGTGCTTGCATGTATGAAAGGAATTTACGACCCTGAATTACACCTTACAGTTTGCAAGCAAGCCGAAAATGGCAGGACTGGTTTCGGAGAGCAGATACAAATAACGCATAGGTGCAGCTTATGAATATCATATTTGATAAATGTTCAATTTTTGCAGACCTATGTGCGTTTGAACTTTAGATATGCTAGCTTCTCTGCAAGATTCCATTATGCATTAATTCAGGTATCCACACGTGGCCTGTTAAATTTTGCATTTTGACAAAATTCCTACATCTTCCAAAATAGATGTTATACCAAAATTAATTTTTATATGTTGCGTCCGCCCTCCTTCCAAAAATTAACTCCTACTATTTGGAAATATATCACGATAGCTAAGAGGACAATCTCGGAGCAACGCTGACAACATGGTAAACAAAAATAGCTTACGGAGCGCGTTCCATTGTAATATTTTGAGGATCAAAACAAATGCTCTACTACTAACTTCCTTTCAAGATTGATACAAAAATAATTTCGATGCGATTATATTAAACGTGAGTCACTTTTTTCTAGACACTTGTTGTTGATAATGAAGGGAACCTTTTTGAAGAGACTAGAGCCAGGGGCTTGGTTGCCCCTGGATAAATTCGGCTTCATGGAAAATTGGTTCAGGAGGGAAGTGAACCCAACCGTTTTTCTCCTTCCAGATCGGAAGAGTGTCCGGGCAACTACATCAATTGCCTATTTCGGATATGTGCCTGGGATTATTCGCAGATTACATTAACCTATCTTCTAGAATGATCGAAAGGTAATCGAAATTTGTCGTGTTAGGACACTAAACTTTTTCCATCCTGAAATTAAAAGTTTCGTTGCAACATCAATTCAAAACTTAAAAAAGCTGATAATCTGGTATTGTAAAAAAGTATACTGAGTGTGCAAAAACAATAACCAAATATAAGGAAATTAAATGAGTGAAGTGAAGCAGATAATGTACCAAATTAATTCGATTAGATTCGTTTGAAAAAGAGCGTAGAAGGTAAACCTCCGACAATGAGTCAGACATCTGTATTGTCGCAAAACTGGAGCATTGTTCTTTAACAATAAACAATATGGTTGAACGGCATGGCTGACGGCATTTTTTCTACGAATATCCGTTTTATTTTTTCGATTTCAGGAAGTATCGAACTGTTAGGTAGAGCGGTAGAGCGTGTAAAATTTTACGAATTGGCTTTATTATCATAAACAAATGAAGGATCGTAACGTTCATGGTTTGTATATTCAACAAAACATTGACATTATGATGTTTGGTGCACATACAAGGTTGCATTTGATAACAATCTATAATATTCAAAAAACAGTTTGACAAAATTTCTGACAAATATCATTATAATTTTTTATTAATTTTCTAAATTATAAACGGTGTAAATTGTAGACTCGTTCAAGGTTTGGATTGTCATCTTTATCGGATGAACAGAAAAGGAAAACTTTTGTATACGAAATTAGGCAATTTTGTGGAAGACTGACTAATGAAACATTTATGAAGAGATTCAGCAGTAATTCTCTATCCATCCTAAAAAACATTTGTTGAACATAATATCTACTGCTGAAGTTATAAAGACAGCCAAGCCAACCACATCTAGGTTACGTCATTTTGAAAAGCACAAGTTACAATCGCATCCGCTTTAGTTCTTAACTAGATACTGGAAAAACCATGAGTAAGATGTATTCCTGGCGGCAACAAGACAGTAGGTGGATTTTAAAGAAAATGACTCTCTTTGACATTAGTTAACTACAAAAGATTATTCTGTTATAGGGCGTGCGAATTGGGGTAGGGGTATTTTTAAAAAAGTTTGCAAAAAGCTTGCGCTATTTCAGTTATTTCGTGCATTGCACAACGAATGTACCAGGTTGAAACGGTGATTTTATATCAAAATCACTGCATAGGATTCTGGCCATGAAATAGAAATAAACAAATCTTTAAACAAGTTCATCGCTTTAGTCCAGTCCCAGTTAAATAAATCTCGAAATTTACAAATCATTACTAGTACAAACATTGAATTTAAGCTGTAAGGTTTGTCTGAAAAAGGTACATCCACGTTGCGTAAGGAACATTATTAAGTGATTTCTAGGCAAATTCGGTGTATCTGAACTTGGCGACTTTCTATGTAGTATGGAATAACGGGACTGCTGAGCTTAACGGTATACTATTCAATTACAAAAAATACCGCGACAAAATTTAACATTCAAATAAAAACAAATTCTCACAGAGGTGATTGACATTACTATTTACTGAACACCTCTATAACATGCCTAAATGAGACAGATGGAGAAATTTGACCAATAACAAAGGCACACGTAGTTTTGTAAGTAGATCGTGAGTATCGTGTTGTTTTGTAATGTCACGCGCATATGTTGCAGACTGCATTTCATTTGCTTATACGGAATATTAATGTTCATTTTCACTCTTCCCAATATTCTGGAAATAATCTCTAAGAATTTGCAAATTGTAACATAGATATTTTATCGAATTAAGACAGCACAAAGATAGATAGATATTTGATTTGTCCACAGATCATGTTTACGCATGATATAGGATAAGTCAAAACGGAAGTAATTAACTCAATACATATTTTCTGCACACATATGTAAGTAAAAATAAGGACATACACATGTATTTAAAAAACAATCATTGATATTTACGTGTCCATAAGATATATACATCCATTGCTCACGTAAAACAATGTGGAGAAATTAAATAAATATAAGTTACACCTAAAAATAAGATAGCTAACGGAAGAGGTCCAAATAAAATGGCACAGACGTTGAAATTAAGTTAAAGTGGAAACATTACGCTATGGTCGCGTTATATTCATTTAGGGAATATGGGCAGTCGTCAAGAAGATATTTTCGCAGTTGTTTCTTTAAATGACAAATATTGATCTCAAGAGATCAGCCGGCAGGCTATTATATATTTTGATAAACATGAAGAGGGGCGATTTTTCAAATAGAGTAGTGATATGATACTTGACATATAAATCAAATGCATTTCTTGTGCGGTAACGAAACAGCTGTCCATGGTTGGCCGTCAATAGAAACAAAAATACCTACAGCTACATCCACCAAAAATTGCAAAAAGCTTTAGCGACTTCAAACCTTTAAGTATATTCAAGTAGACTTTGTGTAATAAAGGGCATACATTTCTATTTTTATGACAGGAATGGTCTTAGTTTAGACTCTAAAATCAAGCGTATTGCAAAGGGGTGAAATAGAAATTGTGCACGGTATTATAATACCTAGCCATTATTATAATCTATGTCTACATCCACCAAAATTTGGAAAATTATTGACCTTTGCGTAGTAATTTCTAATAGGCATTCATTCGCTATCATAGTATCCATTATAACTTTAGTCATGATCTACCGTAGTAGTCCTTTACTTAGCAAAATAGAATTAACAATTTTTGCTAAAACGAAATTTCCGCAATTACACCTGCAAACAGGCAAGCGACTTAACCTTAATTCTCAAGTACGAATTTTTCACGAGCTGACAAAGAGCTTCCGGCCAAAGCACCAACAATAGTCTTAAAAAACCGTATGATTCACGTAATTCCTCTCATACAACATGTTTGCTAATGAGATAATTGCACACGTTACGAAATGGAACATGAAAAAAAACGGAGCGCTTTCATGCTACGCAAAATGTAGGCACACCTTTTTTGTCCTTGTGTATGTATTTGGGTCAAACAAAGCTGCAATTATAAAACTTAGTAGAAAAAATAGTAAGAAGACCATAGTCATAGGTGTACATTGTGGCAAGTCGTTACTCCTTTTTGTTCCTATCATATTGAGATTCTGGAACAGTCTGTTCAGACGAAGCTTTCTCCTAAACAAAAAATCATCATCCAACTTTGGATTATCAAATTAAACGTATGTGATTCAGGAAAACTTATGACTATGTGAAATGGCATAAGATGATGTAAGACAACTTTTTCCACTTGCAATTAATAATATGTGTCACATGAGTTGGTGGCACGTGTCTAAAAAATTAGGCAGACTTTCCAGATAATAGTTTTTCTGCGGGTACCCATTTACTTGAGTGATAACAATACTGCGAGCAGATCACCATACAAGAAAGTTGAGAATTTATCTTCATTGTTTGTTACCTACAGGTATTTCACAACCATATATGAGAGCATGAGTCACTAGAGGAAGTACCAACAACTTTATGGGTGTCATTGTGGTGCCAAATTCATTTTTATGTAGCACACGTTTCTCTTTATTGTCAAGGTTAGTGTTGTTAGCTCTACTGTAATTTTTCTGCTAATTATAATATTGGGTAATCTGAACGTGGAATTGTAGCGAATGAGTTCATTGCATCAGCTTCAGACTGAAAGCGCGCTGTCTGACAACTCAATTGGAAATCAAGCGGTGTCGTCGTGTATGCGCTTCGTTGCAAAATTGGGAAAACGATTAACTTACTTTACTTTTCATGCATATGTTATAATTTAGTTGAAGAGACATATCGCAACTAAGGCTATCAAGCGCAAATCGATCTCTGCTGTTGAACTGGGGAGAGCAAGATCGGTAGAGATTTCCTCTCTGGCAAAAAACCTGGAGGTTCTGACTGCCTGGGGATAACCGTGCTCTTCTGAAGAAACTACGTAGTGTTTTAGTTTTACAGCGGGAAAATACTTTGTATTTTTCAATATATATATGAGGCGCACTTTGATTCAAAAACATGGAATCTCTCGGAAAATCGCAAAAGGCTTATTTCTCTGTTTTGAAGTAATGTCTTTTTCCATATATTCTATGATCTATCACGAAACAACAATGTACAGTGCTTTTCAGGAAGTCAATTCGCCCCATACTTATTTTTTGAACGGGTCGAGTTAGTAAACTGAAATGCAGGGTCGTGAAATTGACGCATGTATATTATATTTTAACATAAAAATAACAGTTGAAAATTTCAAGATGGTGGCTAGGCTCCATCTTGTAACATTTTTTTTTAATCGAATGCGTTACGTGTTTTGAAGCTAGTCATAGATAATAACCATAGAATATAAAATCACTGATATACAAAATGGCGGAGCGCCAGGATGTAAAAGTTGAATGTTTTTATTTATTGAATCGCTTATAACTCAACAACTAATAAAAACGTTTATTATCAATCTTCTGGAATGGTCTGAATGACCAGTAAAATTTAGATTAACAAAAATTGGCAGATTTTGACAATTTTTTAATGGAATGTCTCATATGTTTCACATACTCGGATATACCATCCTAAGATACGAAAATTCTCAACTTTAACAGCCTGTCAGCTCGCCAATTTGAAATACGGTGAATTTATATTCTACCTCGAATTTCAGCTTTCCGACTTGACCCATTCGAAAAATAAGCTGGGGCCTTTTTGAAAAGCACTGTATGTCTCTTTCCATGCGTCACGAAATGGCTTTTAAAGCATTAAAAACAGGTTCAAAATTCATACATAAATGTTGTTACACACATATAAATATTTAATCGCAAAGCAAGAAAAAAGATAAAGACGATACAGTGTTTCTAGATCCATAGCCGAACCCCCCTTATATGCATATAACTTTTTTGATATGCATTTGGATAGAACCATGTAAAATAAGCTCAGATCACTAAGGACGAGATTTGGTACAAACACGTCTCGACAGTTTTTGCAGATTTTTGAGAGTAAACAGGGGTAACTGTCTAGAGGTAGGATTTATTTTTCTCCATATAACCTCCTCACTCTATAAGGCTAGATCCGGAGTATTTACATGACTAAGGTTTTGCTGCCCTGACTGCGCTATTCATACTTGATATTCTCCAAAGAAGGACCAGATGACTAACCGACTGAACGGAAATAACTCCTTGGACTGTCTGGATGTTTCTTCAGCTTTCTCCCTTCGATATACCACCGGGATTTGCTCCTGTGCGTTCCCCTCCATGTCATTGAAGCGTATTAAACCTATGTACCAGAAAAACTCCTAATATTTCTCGTTCTAATTTTATTGATCCCTATACACCAAGAACTATCCGATGCGACCTCTCATCTGTTTCTACGATATCCATATATGGAACAATATGCCTGAAGAAATTTTTCCCAGGAATCCCATCCTAAGGCAGTAGGATTATTGCTGGATTATGCAGACATGAAAGGTTAATAGCTTACATTTCATATATATATATGAATGGGTGTGGAAATTTTCAATTTCAAAAGCTGTTCATTACCATTACGAGTGAGTCTGTACAGGAAATATTCAAGCAATTGTGAAACTACTGAAACACTTGTATAAAGCCAGATGCAAAATCATACCGTTTGTAATTTTACGCAATCTTTAAGCGGGTTGCTGTATTTCTATTAGGAACAACTAGGTGAAACTCGAGATATCTATCTAGATAATAGGAATATTATAATTGGCGAAATCATTTATTTATAAATAGTTGTATTTGAAAGTAAGAATTATATAACATGAGTAATTGTGTGCTTAATGTATGATTTGGAAAGTTCACGAAACAAGTAGTAAAGAAGTGAATTGTTGGAACAAAATTGGTGTTTAAAAGAATAATAGTATTTATCTGCTTTGCGCTTATCATCTTATAATTGACTTGAAATTTGATAAATATAGCCGAGTTATGTGTTAAGCGAAGGGTGTTTAGTTAAAACCACTTGGGTTCCACTAAGCCATTTGGGCATCACTCTTGAGAATTTATGGACTGGATCATCAACCACCACAAATTACTGAAGAAAGTTGTGATACGACTCAGCGAAGTTCCATTTATATTAGCTATAGAAGGCTGACGTTTTCTCAGAATATACTATATATCGGACAGCTGGACAGGTGCAAAATGACTACTCAACCTCTCTCATCTTCTTCACAAACATGTGTTACAAATCACGTTGAAGAGATGTTTCCTTAGCTGTCCAGTCGCAATGCCAGTAGCAAATCAAAGCTGTTGTTTGCACATAGATAGCCAACACTTCGCTATATCATCACTAGGATAGGACAGTTCTCTAGCGAATAGGCAGTCAGACAAACTTTTAGGTGTACTTCTTTAATATCGTTGTCTTAGGACTCCATTAACTGGCCGCTAATCCAAACCACATGTGTTTTAATTACTGTCTATTGTGCGACGTTTCGGCCACCACGGTGGACTTTTGGAAGTACAATGACAATATCTTTTGTTTATCTGCCTCTCCGGTGACAGTTCATTTATTTTTTTTATTGCCATAGCACCTATATGAGCTGTGGGCCCAGTATTTTGGTTCCAGCAGCCCTTTTTGCCATGGATGTGACATTACCCACAAATAAATAGTAAAAGAGTTTCTAATTTTCGACAATCACTTCATTGGCCAAAAATGAAAGATTTGAGTGATTATATATGTATTGATTTTATGTTACTGTTTTTCTTAATACAGTTGGTTTTTTTATTTTAGGCTTATCTTATTTCCATAATAGTCCCGTATCCATAATAATTTAGCACAGTTTTTACGCCGTTCTTCAAGATAAAGTAAAAGTAAACAATCTTTGTTAGAAAGCACAACTTTCTGTTATCTAGCCTTCTAAAAAATATCAGTTCACTCACATTGTGTCGTTAGCGTCCGAGATAACAACAAACATTGCCATTTCTGTTTGATATACTAAAATATACATAACCAGTTGACTAAACAATGTCGCACTCCTCTCGCTGACTGGCATAGAATTTCTCGAACATTTTTGTCATGGTCATATCGGCAAAAAATCCGCTGCGAAGTCACTTTCCCTCACTTTTACTTGTTCAATAAAGACTTGAACTTCTTGACACACTTCCTGACTGAACGCTTTTGGCTGTTCGCGAACCGTTGCCTACCTTTTACGGCACTGAAATGCATGTACGCTTTCATTTTTATTTGGATGCTTGATCTTAGATAACCAGTGATGAAGTGATATAGATTGTGCCTGATACACAAGCAGAGTTTCTTAATCCACATTCATAGAAATCCGTATTACAGGGTTGTACTTACTATTATGATTATAATAATGTCCAAATGTAGATTTCAGAGCATCATCACTCTGATTTATATTCTTTTATGCAACTGATGCTGTCCAAATTAGTAGATCACACGGACCGACAAAAGTAAATCAAGTAGATCATCTTATCTGCAAAACAGAAGGTTTTTTATGCGCTGAATATAAATCCAAGGTACAAATCACCTATTGGCCCTATAGTTCCCGAGATATCCTAACCTAAAGGTGCAAAAATAGCGATTTTTGTCATGTTTGAGGTTACGTAGCATAGCGAATTATTTTTTTTCAAAAAAACTATCATTTCAAATTACAAGTTTTACCCTTTCAAATGCCATTGAGCTTGCTTAGATATCTTTTCTTTCGCTGAGGTATGGCTCAGACATACAGTTAATAAGAATCTTAAGAGTTTAAGTATTTGAGAGAGTTAAACCGGATTCAGCGCATCAAAAACCTTCGGGAAGCTTACTCTGATTTTTGACTAAATATCTTGCGGCCTGAGTTATTCGGTGATTTGAAAAGTTTCTGGTCTCTACATGAAATAAGATTAATTGATCTCTGAATATCCGTATATTCTTCAATATGATTTGAGTTACATTTTTTCCAGCGATTTACAATTTGGTTTATACCTTCTCTGCGATGTTTTTTTGAAAGCTTTTCACATGCAAGTCTGCGGGTGTAATGACTCGTTCACTTAGACTTTTCAAAGCATGGAACCAAATGATACATAAAAAATGCTAAATCTGGTAATAAGATGACCGCTTACGCAATTTGAAACATAATTGATTGATTGTTGCTATTGTTGGAGCGCGTCTGTGAGTAGGTGTATTGTCCCGTTGGAAGTGAATTTTTTCTTCTGTAAACTTGATATTTTCTTCCGAACATTTACAGTCAGCATAACGAGGAGGTTAAAATAATTATTCTGCTGTTATAGTTTAACCAGACTGCAGGTAAACTATCAATAACAACCCTTCTAGATTTGATACCATAGCCTTTGCATATGGTTTTGATAACTTTGGTTGTTACACGAGTCCAGAAATCATCTAGTGCGAAAGCTACTTAACAAAGCTGTAACTAAGGTTCCAACGAACCCCCAAAGTGGCTTTCCGTATTGACAGAACACCTAGACAGCCACAACACAAATGCTTAATTGTCTAATCTTAATTTTTAAATCCTCCACAAAAAGAAATGTTACAAGACTCATATTAGAGAGATGCCTCCTTCGCTGACAGTGTCCAGTCTCAATGCCAGTAGCAAACCGAAGTTACTTTCTGAATATAGGCCGACAGAATTTCACTATCGCTATTCTTTTTCAGCTAATTAAGAGGCATACGTATTTTTGAAGACGTTGTGGTTGTGCCCTTCAGGCATGACAGAATGAAGAAGCAATGTTTTTACCCGTGGACTATGAGCAACTCTTCGCTAAGGCAACAGTTGAAGTCGAATTTTTTCGCGACTACAATACTTCCTCGCCATTGGTGTAGGGAGTAAAAATGATAATAGCACCTTCTACGGTAAAGGTAAGCATAGAGGAATGCCGTCAGTGTTAACCTGAAGGAGTGCTGTTTGTTCTATTCTTGCCTTTGGTAATTTGTCATATCATACCGTAGTTATATCTGGCGTTCTAGAACATTCATCGCCGTCTGCATACCGCTGCGCCGATCCTGGATTTTTTCTTTTTTGAAAAGTGAATGGAAGAAGTTGCGAGACACGCCGCTCCGCAGTGGTATTACTATTTATGTTTATTGCCTGCAGGCTCGCCAGCGACATTAGACGCCAAGGCCGTTTAGATATCAAGCCGTGTATCGTCGACTTTTTGCAAAAATCCTTCGTCTCGTTTCCAACGGCGTTAAATTGGAGCTTAAAACTTGGCAACATAACGAAACAGGAGTGGTCTCAACTATGTGAGCTTCTTGTTGAAAGTTATATTTGATATCCTTATAGGCTAAACATTTCACAGGACGGAACATCAGGACTTTGCCAAAAGTGACATAAAGCAGAGCATTGTTGAATCCACATAACACTTCTGTCATAACAGCCAGCCATAATGTATCACACTTCTCAAAAAAAAACTAACACTGATATATCATTTCTGTAATACTACTTCAATCCGGTAGAACCCAATCAAATAGCGATGTGGTCTCATATACAGTGAGTTTTTAGTGTGGGGTGGGTTAGTAGTTCCGTTATTAAGCATGTTATCTAAAAAAGTTAATGACAAAACCTGTAGCTAACAGTATGTTCCTCAATTGGAAAATATTTTCATTTCTACAGGGTGATATATAACTAAGTGGTGACCCAAACATATGTTTTTTAATATAAAGACCTACACTTTATTGCAGATTCGGATAGGCGCTTTCAATTTAGTTGCAACATACTTCAGGGTATTATTTCTAAATTGTTGAGATATTGGAGAATCTATCGAAGAAAAATACAACTTTGACAACTCTCACCTTTGCAACTGTTTCAGCTAGACTACTGGACTTTCATTAAGAGGAATTTTATGATTCTAAATTTTATTCTTACTTACTGTTGCAGTTTTTTTGAACAACTACAACAAACAAGAAAGCAAAATAAACGATTTCTAAGAATTTTCAAAAGGAACACCCTTTTTGACTCCCCTTTTCACAATATTTTTTTCGGTATAATATTTCTGGGAGTTTGTACCAATACTTCTTGAGTTACAGTTAACCTTTTTGTCAATCAGATATCAAGGTAAATGAAAAATATTACAATACCTTTTTGAACCCTATTATCAGAAAAAAACCTGCGAAAGGGAGAATCAAAAAGTGTGAAAGTATACAGGAAGTTCCATTTGAAATTTTTGAGAAATCATTCATTTTTCGTTTCTGGCCATTCTGTATAAACTAACCAAAAAAATTGGAAAAGCAAGTGGATAGAAAGAAAGTATCGGATCATAAAATTTTTCTGGCAGAAAATCTAGTTCTTTAGCTACTGAAGTTGCGGAAATGCGAGTTGATAAAGTTGAGTGTTTTTTTCAATATTCCCCAATATTTCAATAATTTAAAAATATAAACCCGTATGTTATATCAACTTGCTTGATTTGGAACGGCGTTTCCGACCCTGCAATAAAATGTAGGTCTTCCTATTAAACATTTTGGTGTTTAAGTCATCACATAATTATGAATCACCCTGTAAGAATATAAATATTTTCCAAGTAAGGAGCATACTGTTGGCTACAGCTTTTGTGATTAACTTTTTCAGGTACCATGCGCTTAAAGAGAGAAAAATATGGTTTGTAAAACACCTTGATCCACAAAGACCTTGAAAAGCTCATCTTATTTTATTTTAAAGGATACAGTTGCAAATATATTGAGAATTGAAAAGGTTGACCTTTCTCCACCACTTGGTAACGTAAATGCCATAAAGTCGTTTGGAGTTTTCTGGCTTTCTGTCTTGTCTCATTTTTGCTCTATACTCTATATCGTATTTCGTAAAAGCTTAAACAAACATTTCATTGCATGCTATACTTGATGCATTATGTAATATATGTATACGAGTACTACATGATGAAGTCCTGTAGTAATAAGTGTAATTTATTTACTCAATGTTATTTGATATAAAATACTAAAATATCAACTTGGGTGTGGACATGCTTGAGCATATTAATATTGTTATTCTTCGATTGATTCATGATTCTGTATTATGAATATTGACTTGCAAATTAACGACATATTATGATATACATGCGTTGCATGTAATTGTTTACCAGTTATGTATGTATTCGTTCTTCTTAGAATATGGTAACTTCATAAGCAGTACAATAATAATTTGTAAATGGAGAGCCTCGCGAATTAACAGTTATAAAAGTTTGATGTTTTGGATTTACAATTATTATAAATTAGGTGCTTGAGGTTTCCAGTTAGGAATCCAGGCTCTGAGAATGTATCAGGCTTCAATATTTTTTTCAGTTCTCTCTACGAAAGTCCAGAGTGCTGAAAGCTCTTTCGCCTGAAATTATACCTGACAAGTTTTTCAAAGGTTTGAACAAAGCGTTGTAAGCAATCAACTCAAATTGTGAAAGCCCACAAAGGTTAAATTTATTTTTTTGTGGCTACCCTACTCATTAATATCCCGAAGATTTTTGCAGAAAAAGTAAATGAGAACGTGAGGGTGGAAGGTAAACTTTTTCTACCAATGTCCACTATTGGACAAGTGTTAATTTTATAGCTTACGAACACAATATTTTATTGTTTATTACTTGTTAATGTCACCTTCAATGCTTTTTGTTCAGATTCAATTACTAGTAACCTTCACTTCAAATATAATTTTCTAGTATCATCATCAGATGACAAAGAAGTAGTTTCTGGTTTGCACTAACGACTGCATCATGCTCAGGCTTTGCAAAGTCATTTATCTTAATTTAATGCCCTTCAATCTTGAAAAGATAACTAACTTGGATAAACTGTTCTGGGCAAAAACCTAACTACAATTCAAAAATATCTGGATAGACTATGAGAAAATAATTAGAGTAACACTTAGGAGGACCCGAGTGCTGATTAGAGGACTGACGCAAGAGGGGGGACTGGATCAGTGGCAAAGGTTTTAAATGGTCCGGAATGCCTGTATGAGTCCTGGAGAATTGAACCTGTATTTTACTCTTAAAATACTCGATAAGTTTACTTCGTGTAAACTAATGCAAGAGCAGTGTTGCTTTTTCATTCAATAGTATGTTCTATTTAATGTCCAAAAATGTTTCTTGGGCACATGAAGTCATAGGGTGAAAAATGCTGTTAGTTGTAGTTTGTTAGTCTACTTTTTGTGATGAGTTCCAAAGATGGAAGAAATATAAAAAATATAAAATATAAATTGTTGTGTCAAAAATACACGGAAAAATCCAAGATATACGTTTTTCTTTATGCGAATGTACATTTATTATGTTTATTCAGAGGCTGAAACTGTTTATAATCCTAAAAATGTTCCAGTTGGAATAAAATTAATTTGTTTGTGTTTGGGGAGCTATTTTTTCCTTATGTATTTTTTACAGTGCTGGCTAACACATTTTTGGACTTTTTTTGTTATTATTGATGTGGTAAATTATTCTAGGAGTTCGGTGCAGTAGCAACTAAAAATAAAACTGGAATTTTTTGCAACTATGGTGGGAATATTGGCGAAAATCTGAAAATATTGTTGGATTTTGTGAAAGTTTGTATACAAAGCTTAGGAGATCTGATTTTTAGCGGACAGTGGAAAACTGATATGGCCATCAAACACAAAATCAAGGAACGACTATGGAAATCAACCACGAAATTAGGGGGATTGGTGGATGTTACAATCAAAATAAAATAATCAACAAAATGGTCGAAGTACACCTAAAAAGTTGATTGCAATGTCTGAAAAAGTCACAAGTTTTACCAGGTCAGATGATATGAGAAGATCCATATTATGCTTCTTGTAAAGTTGATTTGCTGGAGTGCCAAATCTGTTACTGCCATGGAAGTGTACTTTCTACATATAAAGAAGTATTTTATTTGAATGAATAAGTAGTTCTCACCCCTAAGCACATCAGCAGGAATGAGTCTCTTGTATGTCTTCGGTTTGTCATCATCAGCTTCCTTCTTCGCTTCTTCAGCGAAGACAGCGCTGGCGAAAAGGACGACGACGGCAACAACCGCGAACCGTTTCATTTTTTTCTTTAAAACTAAAAGGTTAGTAGATATAGAAAAGTCGGAATGCACCACGCGTGGCCCACTTTCGAGCGTAAACTAAGGCTAGCCTATGGCCGGCGCTCTCTTATAGGTTTGCCGAGGAGCCTGTGTCCCCTCCGGGCCACAGCCTGGCGCTTGGCCCCACTCTGCACTTCCTGTGGCGATGAAGCTCTGCGTTTTGTGGGTGGATGTCTTCGGAAGATAACTTTTTTATGCAGATTTGAAAACTTAGGTTGCTTGTTGCCTTTCACTTTCTATTCACAGTATGTCCACAGAAAATGTATTTCGCACTAAGCATCAGTGTAGTAATTGATAATCAAAGGTATTAAGAAGGCCGCAGATCCAAAAAGGTGGAAACCTTTTTGGATCTGGAGTTATTTGACGTTTGACAGGTTTCTTATCTCCCCCAAATGACAAGGCAGATACGGAGGCCGCAAATCCAAAAAGGCCTCATCATTTGACGATTGACACCATTTGGTCCTTAAGGAGGGCGTTTATTGCTTTGTTTAAACAATATGAGATACCAACTTCACGAATTATCACTCATAATTGTCGTCCACAAAATATTTGTTTTCTCTCTCTAAACCTCAATTTTTATAATATCTTAAGACCGAATGCATTATGGTTCCTGCACTTGAGGCTTGCTTATTATGGGTACGCCGTATTTGCCTTGATTGTCAGGACACTTGCAAGTGATACGATACTTGTCAAACAATCAAAAAGGTGGCATGGTTCGACCTGACAGAGAGGGCTGATTGTCTTTCGTAGCCGTAGCTTCTTCTATTTCATTGCATGCAGGAGGCTACATAATTTGGTACTTATTACTATAAAAAAAACATAATTCGTAAGCGTCAATTCAGTGAGTGACAAGGCAGATAAGGCGACCTCATCATAGGAAGGGTCCAGGTATGTAATTATATAATTTTTATAGACGTCACGGACGAATTTTCAGATCTAGCGCGAACTGCTTGGATGCCACTGTAACTATCTCCAATATTTCGAGCTATACTATAACTATCTAAAACTGTAATGACTCATCGATGTTCACGTGAACATCACTTAACTATCAGTAGTCGGCTGTTCATAGGCGGGGTATGAATGTTTAACATGGGTGAACTAGATTTGTCACATGCTTAATAAAGAGTGGTTTGAAACATATTGTAAGTCAAAAATTTGGGAATTACCTTTATTCATCGTCGCTTCCACATACATCTGACAGTAATAAACTGTCGCTATCGCTTTCCTCGTTGAAATTGACTATAACTGGCTCTATGATGGTGTCGATGTGGTGGTTAAGCTGCCACATTTTTGTTTCTTCCTTCACAACATGACGGATAGCATTCTGCCAAGCTTCGGGCGTTACTAGCTGTATGGAAGTCTCAAGTAAAACCTTAATGTCTGGTAATTTGAAGGTTGTGTTATGGCGCGCAATATAACCCTTCACTTGAGCCCAGATGAGCTCTATTGGGTTCAGTTCACAGTGGTAGGGCGGTAACCGCAACACAGTGACACCACATTGACGGGCCATCTCATCAGTCACGTAACTAATGTTCGCAGGTTTGTGCTGTTTACTTTTTTCATACAATTCCGCTTTCACACATGAATCGTCAAACGGGATTCCTTTTTCGCGCAACTATTGCTGCTTGTCACTTTTTCGAGATCCCATAGTCCGTACACGTTCGGCTCGACGACTATGGTAGGAAGCATTATCCATGACGATCACAGAGTTGGGCTCAACTCTCTGAAGCACCCCTTGAAACCAGCTCTCGAAGCAGCTGGCATTCATTTCGTCATGGTAATCACCTCCTTCCTTAGAGACGAAAATCAAGTCACACTCTTCTAAAAAGCCACTATCGCTACCAATATGAGTTACGATCAATCTTTGACCTTTCCCTGACGGTCCACGAAGACCTGTTGACAAACCTTCAATGCTTGCTTGTCGGTTACTCACTACGTTTTTGTCTATCCAGGTTTTTTTAACTGTGTGACCTACATTTACCCATGTCTCGTCCAAATAATAGATTTTTCTGCTGTCGCCTATATTCAATCATTTCGCGTAGGTATTTTCGACGCCAGGCGACTATATCAGGTCTCTCTATCAATACTGACTTTCGATTACGCGTTTCGTAACGAAAATTAATTTCGTGCAGGGATTTCCTCATTACCTCGACGCTCATTTGGGGTATAATTTCATTTTCCTTGATCGCTGCATGTATAGCCTTGAGGGTTGGTATCTCATTCCTAAAGAAGAATGAATGTACGGTTCGCCTTAACGCCATTTTGCTATCGTCATCCAATTTAACGGCCTTTCGTCCCTTCAAATTAAACTTTTGATCAGTAGTAGCTCCAGTTTTCTTCTTTTCACGCACCACCCTGCGAATGGTCCACTCTGGAACGCCTGTCATACTTTCACAACGCGCGAGTGCGTCTCCCTGCGACATAGTTCTGTTCAGATAATTGAACACATTGAGCACGATTTCTTTCGCGTCCCTCTTCAGTGCTTTACGAAGCCGTCTACTTGTTCCCTGGCTTTCAGTACTTCCACTCGTGCCATTTGTACTCTCCATGGTTAAGTATAACCAAAACAGTAACCACAGAAACCACAACAATAACAATCACACAACAATTCTTATAAAAACACACAATATGCGATCGCTCAACGAAACACGTTCCAATGCGTTGCCGACGCCTATGAGTCTGCCGGTCGAGGCGCGTCTTTGATTTCATTGGTTCTACCGGCGGAGAACAATCAGCCATTATTTCCATCACTGTCTGTGCTGTTGACCACCGCAAAGCCACAGAAACGACATAAGTCGTACGCTATACGGCTGTACTGGAAGGAAGCCGGGATCGAGCTATGATCACGTGTTGATCACGCGTATGAGTCATTACAGTTTTAAATAGTTGTAGTATAGCAGCGACCATTTAATCCAACTGCATAATATATATATATATATATATATATATATATATATATATATAACGAAAATAGGAAAATAATGGGCAAAATCTGCAAAAAGTCCTCAACAAATGCCAACCTACACATCGTAGTGGCTAGAAGACCTCGAATTTTCAAGGCGACATCTAACCACAACCAAGCGACCAAGCCACTTACTGTGGTACTTCAAGCCCAAAGGATCTACAAAGAGAAAATATACCTTTCTCCGCATGATTATTTGTTGTGGACTTCGTGTGTGATTTTTTTCCCTCTCCATTTTCGTTTCCTCAAGTTACACCGGTATCCGGATGTATGGGCATGGGTATCTACTTTTGTAGTTACATATGTGCATTCATTTTGGGCCTGATGAAGCCAACCAGCAGAAATACGTATCGCTCGGTTTACCTATCCTATTTTCTGCTAGAATCCACTTTCCTTCTTTTTACGGATTTTGCCCATTATTTTCCTATTTTTTTGTTATATACCTTTCTCCGCATGATCATTTTCTCTTTATATATATATATATATAAATTAGGCCAATATCGATAACTGATATGAGATACAGACGAAGTCAAACAAGTTATAGTGGAATAATGGCTTATTGGCTTCTAATATGGAGATAAGTAGAAAAATCACAGCTATTGGGTGCCTATTCATCCTACTGCGAATGGTACCGACTGCCCCTTTTTAAAATGATAAACTGGATCCAGGCTCTTTAGATATCATAATTACACAAAAATCTAGCTAATTTTGCATTTCAGTAAAAACAATTGCTTAGTTTTACATAAATACACAGATTTTCAAATCTTCTCAAGCTATACACACACACTAAGCAACAAAACAGGCGCATCAACTATACCATCATGATATTGCACTGTCTCTACGTTACATCAAAAACATATTTGCAATTAGGTACATACTTCAGCACTTGCACACAAGACTCCCTGAAGCATTTCACACTTCGTTTTGTTTACAACGAGTTACAAAATACTCAAAATAAAGCTGTCCTCTTTATATTTTTGTTATTTTCGATTGATAGATTCACAATTCAGATAAAAAAATAACCGTCAGAGATCCCAGTTTCTGAGTGACGGATAAACCACTCGCCACAGATGTCATTTCGTGACAAACAGGTTTTTTGCTGATAATTAGCTTTCAATTGAATATAGAGAGTTCCTATTTGTATCATTTTGTAGAATTGACTCTCAATTACACAAAACATTTCACAGAACTTCGGTTTTTATAACGGTCAAATTTTTCAGTTTACGTTTTTATCAATCCGTGACACTATATGAGAAAAATATGCTGATCCGTCGCAGATAACGCTACTGCTGTCATTTTTTAACCTGTGTGACAGAAAATGTCAAAAAATGTCCTGTGATTGTCAGCCCGTGACGAGTGGAATTACTCTCCAGCAGTTGCTCCGATTGGCAAACCATCAAGTTTCAAGTGATCTGAACTCCGACAAACCGAAATGTATGGCTTTCTGGAAAAGATCAACTATCTTAGAGGTATTAAACTCGGTTGAATCACTGCGTCCCCTGGCAGTGGTATCCTTTAGGTCTTTTATCATATTTGGAAACACAGGTGATTGGTTGCCCTCCACATTCCATGTACTGAGGTTTCAAATGCTCCGTGTAATTGTCGGATATCCAAGCGTCATAACACGTGGCGCTACCCATCAACAAATAAATGTTCATCAAACATAGCCAAGAACCATTTCAACAGACTAGACTTTCGGACAAAGAAAGGGCAATCAAATCAAACAGACAAATGAGTTCAACTTTTCAACGACATCACCGATTTTCATTGAAAGGCCGACTTAGTAATCTAATTGAAGCCCAGCATATTCGGTTACTTTGGGTTGCTCACCCCCCACGTTTGCCCCACAGTTTTCAAACAGCCGAATCGATTTTCATCAAACATGGCTCAGAACTATCTTGACAAACACACTGTCGTTAGAAAAGGACGCATGCAAATCTGATCATCCGATGGGGAGCTAACACCCCTTCGTTTTTGCATTGGAGGATAAAATCGTCATCTACACACACGAAATATGCATTTCAACAAAAATTGTCAATGATGAATTACTTGTATTTTGTCAACTATCCATATTAAAGAGCTTTGTGTCCATGTACATGTTTTTTCATTCCTACAGACAATGAAATGAAATGCAGAAGAGTGTTTAGAGAGAAGAGTTTTTATTTACTAGTTACGTTTCTTCAGTAGACACAGCAAGCCACGAGAAGACAAAAGTACGTTGCAAATTTCTATTATCTAATTTGCTAAGACTGCAATTATCTGTTAGTGCCCATTAAACTCTTGAGTGAATAATAAGAGTATAATATCATATTATACGTATTTCAACATCTTGGCTATGAAAAATTGAAAGTTTTACTATTATACCTACACTTGATCGTAAGGAAAACATGCGAGTTAGCTATCATAATACAAAACATGTTTTATACGTCTACTCTATAGCTAATTTGTGGGCGTGGAATGTTAATAATTTACTATACAGCTTCATGCGATCTTGCTAAAACTGTGCACGAGTATACTTTTTTGATGATATACATAATAAAATTATCTTCATTGTGCTGTCAATTTAGATATCTTCCTTGGTTTAATAAAAAAAGTTGATAGAAAAGCAATAACAAGAAATACATTTATAGATTGCTTTCCAATTAACTACTCAATATGCTTTTTTCAGATTTTTGCCTGACATCATTCAGAATTAAATAGAAGGTACAACAGTTTCACATTAACAAATAATGGTTTAAATCTTTGTGTATTCCTAAAGCACAAATCGACTAGGCACTTCTATGTATAATTTAACATACGTTACTTTATTGAGATAATAAAAGCGCCTTTCATATTCTCTGTTTGGAGTATTGAGGTACTTAGCATGTTCTTTCGGCAAATCCGACGTTTGGGTCGTTAGTTTTAGTCTTAATACACGAGGTCGACGATGAGTCCCAAAGGTGGCCTAGTTGCCAGTGTTCGCCATCCTATTGCCTTCATCTCCGGTGTATTTAATATCACCTAGAAGGTACATGAGGCATAATGCTTTCGATCACGAAGAAAGTGACATTACGATTAAATAGCTAAGTGCTTCCTTCGCACGCTACGCATCCTTCGTGGCTAACAGGCAATTACATGCACAACAATCCTCGGTGATTTTAATTAGAAACGACGCTAATTATATCAAAGCGGTGTCAGCTGACAATGACACACTTCAAAGCGATTTTTACACGAATTATCATAGAGTTAGTACTCATTGTCGTCGACGAAATATTCTTTTTTACTTCTCCGAAAACTAGCTTCATTAATATCTAAGGGCCAAATGAATTCTCATTCTCTTGTGGTCTCTTCATCATATGGGGACGGCATATTTGCCTTTACTGTCTTAACACGGGGGTTGCCAAACACCTTTCTCAAAGAAGAAAGTAGGTTTGCTCGACCTGTAACCTCCTTAGTATCTTACTTAGCCGTTAACTTCAGGTTTTTCATTTCATGGAAGGCAAAGGCCTACCCATTTCAGTTTTTACTTCCTACGCCCCTGGCCAGGAACTATGGTAAATAAGTAAAAATAGCGAATATATATGATGCTTTTTGGATATTATAAATCATCAACATTACGGAAAACTATGTCACTTATATTTGTCGGTCTGTAATTTGGTCCACTAATCCTTGGTCCGTCTATAATTTCCGCTTGGATTTTGATGAAATTTTCACATAAAGTTACTACCATGTCAAGGCCAAAAAACGAAAAAAGCAAAATCGTCCAACTTCGTTTTTAGCATTCTAGAGACTCCATTTTCAGAAGAAAATTAATAGTGGTTAAAAACTCGGGGCTGGAAAGTCTTGGTATATACCAATTCTTTTGGTATCAGTAAATTTATATTCTTTCAACCCTGGTAATTCTATTAGTCATATTCCACAGTCCACACATCGTAGATGAGTATCTATCTTTCGTAGTCGATGGTGGCTGCCGTGGTGTCAAGGTTTACGGGTGGCAAGCGGCGAGGTATAGACGTATAGACGGTTAGTTTTAGCAACATTGTCAGATGGACGGTACTGTTGATGGGGCAGGGAAAACATGTGCCGAATGTAGTCCTTTAGGAACTGATGTCAGCGTTGTGTAAGAATGTAGAGTCAACCTACTTGACGCCATTTTCATTTAACCCGTTATTTGATTTTTGTCAGGTCCCCTATCTCCCTCAAGTGACAAGGTAGTATCTACCTTGGTGTATTCACATTTACGGGGCACCAATGAACATCTCAGCATTCGGCACTTAAGTAAGTCGTTTATCGCTTCATTTTAATAAATATAGGTTACTAACTTTTTCAATGTCAGTATATAACCATTTTATAGCCAAAGTGGCGCTCACTTGGAAAAACTGCTTCAGCTGTCTTAAAACTCACAAGTTCTATGTCAGCAACCCAGTTATGGGAAAAGTATTTTGAAACGACAGATAACCTTGTTCTAGCAGCTGCTGCTATTGGTGTCATATCATGGTCCAAGTGATTTAAATTTCGACAAACCCTAATGCTGGCTTCTTGTTTGTTTGTCCATCCATCAAAATAGAGTGAGCCTTTGGGTACTATGTATTGTTATCATCAAACTGCATCGAATCATTGAGTCCCTTGGTAGTCTTAACCTTTAGGTCTTTCATTAAAATGGAAGTAGTTACCACTTGGCTCTCGGATCCCAACCGTTAAGCTGTGTATCTGACTCGCGTGCATGAAAAGAGGTCATTGGTGTGTCACAGAATCAACGTTGCAGCTAAATGTCACACCTTAGGAACATCCTCGTTGACATTGTATGATAAACAGGACAGTCCATTGGTTACGACCAACGAATCCAGACTAGGTAGAAGGACCAAGAATACAATTTGATTGTCTCCAAAATCTCAGACTGTAGGATAAAAGTATTATTTTTCAGAAGTGCGAGTATTTGCCGATAATTGTGGCAGTAGACGATTTCAGGACATTGTATTTTCTGCATAAACTGCAAAGGGTGGCACAAGCCAAATAAAGGTAGATCTTTTCAGCGGTAAGTATTATTATTATTATTATTTTGATACAACGTTCTCACTTTGGCAGGCAATGGTAGCTAAATGAGTCAAAGTATGCACTAAAATTACGCAATTCTTGCGACGAAGAATGCATTGTAAACATATAGGTTTGGCTTATTCTAATCTTTTACTTATCTATTATACAGATTACAAAAGAAATGGGTTGGCTTGCTAGCCTTAACGTCACTGTGACCCAAATGGATCTATTGTGACCCCTATATTTAATCAGACTCCATAGCCTTGACCTTGACCGCTGTTGGATTTGTGGTTCCTTCTATCTGAAACCGTAGCCTTGCCTTCGCAGTGATACAGGAGATGCTTGGTGCAGAAACGGCCCAAGAGCCGCATATCTCGATTTAGACCATACTATGAACTATGGCCCTCATGTCCTTCCTATTGAATCCTAGTAGGTGCTCTGTAAATGCAAGCCTTCGGCCTAATTGGCTGTTCCACCAGTCCAGGTACATTTTCCTGGATAAATTCCTTATGGACTGTAATCTCATCATGCCAAACAAAGACTCTGGATCTATAAGGCGATTGGCAGCACTCTGCCGGTCTAGCTCATCCGCCTTTTCATTTCCTTTTGTGCCCTTCATGAGCTGGTTTCCCAAGCAATGTTACTTTGTTTCGGTTTTCCAGCTCTTTGAAAGTGTTCACGCAATCCCATATTAGTTTAGATGATGCCTTTATGGTCTGAGCAGATGGCGATCGACTGACTTATTAGCCCTTTTGCGCAGATGTATAGCCGTTACTTGGGCTTGAAGCGGTGATGCTTGAGATGTTTTAGAGGCTCCCTTGATGTCCTACTACATCACCTTACTGATCCTAGAAATCAGAGCTATTATCGGTCTGAAGTTCTTGCCTTGAGCCGAAAGTTCACATAGATGATTTGTTTGTCCCGACTTACGACGCCTATGACTGGAAACGCGGCGTGTGCGTCGGAAAAAACAACGCCAAATAGTTGCGAAAGCGAACAATGGAACGACGCCCGCATCTACCGTCTTTTGTTCACCAATGACCGTGAAGTCGGCTGCTGGATTTTTCGGTAGCTTACTAGTTAGTGCTTTTTCTTTTCTTTCGTTTGTTTATTTACCATTTTTTATTCGGTTCGATAATTTGGAAAACTTGGCAGAATGAAATATTTATTGTTTTTACATGCATGGGTTGTAAAATTTCACTTTATTAGCGTTTTTTATTTTTGTACATCATTTCAAAATTTTCTTTTCACGCTGAATAAAAACGGTTTCCAGATTAATTAACTGTTATATGAAAGTTAAGTTTACTGAACTGCGTCAATACGTTTTGATGTGCTGTGGTGTGCCCTCTTATGCAACCTGCCATCCTATAGCCTTTCAGAGAAGCTTTGCATTTGGGTGGCTCATTTCCTCTCTGGCCAAAATTGGCAGGTTCTCCTCTTCACTCCACAGCTTAACGCAAGATATACATGAAGGAACTCAGAGTGACAAGCCGATCCTTGCCGGTGAGCTGGGAAAGAAGTCTAGCAGCGACTTTACCTCTGACGAAGAACCTGGAGGTTATCACTGCTAGGGGACGAAACAATCTACTATAGCTTGATGCTTCTAGGACATAGTATTGTGCCTTGACTAACAAGAAGCGCTGTATCGGTCATTCGGTTTCGATGAATGGCCGAGTTCCACCAAAGAAAAAGGGAAAAAGCTAGGCTATTTGTTTATGGTACATTTCTCCATACAACATCCTCACACTATACAACTACACGCTTGATGCTGCTTAGAGGAGAACTGTTCGACTAATTAGTGACTCTCGTCGGTGATCTAGCTCTCTTCTACCGGTATGACAAGGGACTTTGATCCTCACAGCTCTCCTCCAAGTCGTCGCCGCGCGATCTGCCTGCCAGATAAACCTGCCTGACTTCGGCCTCCGATCCTAACTATTTCGAACTTCTCACATCCAGAACTGACCAATACTACCGCTCATTTGTTCCTAGGGTGTTGAAATTGTGGAATAATCTACCTGAGAAGGCTTTTCCCAGTTCTACTAACACTCCACCGATGCGAATCTCAAAA